GAACACCTTAATAAAAGTTGCAGTGCAAGCTACTTTACAGTGAAAAATGGAACGAACAAACACCTTTTTTTTAACTAACCAAATCTTGGGTTGTACAAGTTTACAACCTGAAATGTCTGACTTTGCAAGGCTGAATATTGAAGCCCATAACCGCTACCCAATTAAAAAAAAAAAAGATGGAGAGAACTGGCAGGTTCAGCATGAGCAAACTCTTACAGGGCACCTCCTTGTGTGCTAGATATTTTATTTCAACGTGGAAAGAGAAAGGAAGACATTAGATCTTTGTTATTTTAATTGCTGATCATCCGTTCATACTATCAGAAGGATTAGAAAACAGTTTCATTGTGGGTGTAAAACACACCCCGTTTGAATGAAAGTCAGATGGGAATGGGCAACGCCACCCCTAGCTCTGAGTGCACAGCTGCAGGACCACACCAGGGAGAAAGGGACAGTCACCTGAACAGAGGTCCTCATGGCTGTCTCAGCTACCCAAGCGACCAGAGTTTTTTGTTTCCAAAAACAAAAAACAAAAAAACACATAAAGGGCCGGCCGAGTGGCTCAGCTGGTTAAGAGCTTGCTGGGGAGCACCAGCTCTGAGCAGCGGGGCTGTGGTTCGGATCCCACATTGAGGGCCAGTGACACTGCCCTTTACAGCTAAGAAGGTGAACAGCTCGACCTGAAGCTGGGCTGCCGTGGATCGCCGGCAACGGCGTAGGCTGCAGCGGGGCTGCAGTGGGCTGCTGTGAGCTACATGAGTGGCTGGCAGCCAGCGTGAGCTGCCGTGAGCCGCTGTGATCGGCCGACCAATGACAGGCGACCGACTGCCTCACCCGGGAAGAGCACAATGATACCAACATGGGCCAGTGAAGCGACGTCCTCCACAACTGGACTGAATAACAAAACAGCAATTTGTCTACCTGTCTGTTCCCCTTCCTCGATTCCCCAATGCTGTTACCCTCCCCCCAATTCCCCAATAAAAAAAATTAAAAAAATAAAAAACACATAAAAATGGCTCAGTCTCCTAGCAAGGGGAGGTAACAACTATTCAAAAAAGAGTTTAAAATAAAAAGGAGGGGAGGAGGGAGAGGATACTATGGAATCATACAGAACTAGTTCCCAGCATGAAGAATAAGAGATCCAAATGTTTCTAATAAGAATATTGAGTCCTTCCTTTCCTCCCCGAATAGAAGAACCTGTGGGACTCCAGTTCATATATTCTAATACCAGGGAGGAGAAAAAGAAAAATCAAGCCCACGTTTCCAGAATAATTCTTTTTACTCAGGTTTGCCCAATCTAAACGTGAAATACTATTTTATCTACAGACTTCATCGGGAAATTACATTTAGCTGGCCTGGAAAAAGAATGTCAAGGAATCCATTTATCACTGTGTCAACATAGGGTTTTGCTTGCTTTTATCAGGGCAACTGGGGGAGCCTAGAGCCCAGAACTCCAATTTTGGTCCACGTGCTTCTCGGTGCTTCTGTCCCTTCTGTCGGCTGGAAGGCCTGCAGTTGGTCTGCCCTTTCTTATCCCGGTGGTGTCCTCGGGGGTCCCCGGAGGAGGACTCGTTTTTTACACTGTGCCCATTTCATTCAAGGGACTCCAGTGTCAGCTGTCAATCCCGACTATTATTTGAGCTCTCCTTAGGAAAAGAGGCAAAACTGAAAATGAGAAAACTGAATGACACTCAGAGTCCTTGTTTTAAGCTGCGGTTTTCATTTCAGAGGGACGGATCATGAGTGCAAGGATCGCAGTCGCTGGCCATGGGGACCGAGGAACCAAAGACACAAGATCAAAACACCAGAAGCAGCCAGATTAGACTTCCGTCCTTGGGCCCCGTGATTTGGTCCGAGAAGAGCTACAGGCAGTTATGTGTAGTCACTTGTCAGGGAGATGCAGTCGTGTGTCACGTAACACACGGGGAGAGGGGATGGGAGACAAGTGGAGGAGAGAGCAAGAACAAATGTGAGTGTGTGGGTGTGTGCGCACGCATGCGCACTTACATATCCAGGGTGACTTCTCCCTGCACTGAGGGCAGGCACAGCCCAGTGTTTCAGAGTTCAAGGCTGCAAGCCTCAGGAGGCCCGAGAGGAGATCGGGGCTCCAACACAAAAGCCAAGGGACTGCACTTCATCAGCCAGCTTCCTCATCTGCTATTTCACCGGGTTGTGGACGGATTAAGTGACACAACAGAGGTAAACTGTTCTTTGCAGAGAGTGCCTGCCATGAACGCAGGGTCATGTACCTCTTGTCCCTCATCTGAGAATCAATGTACAACCAGCTGAAGAATGCTGAAGTTGCCTTCTGCTCCGATCCCATATGGAAATCTCATCTGAAACACTTCCCGGGATAAGACCCTTGGCACCAAGACCTCACATAGCCCTAAGCATGTCACAGTTCGTCCCAGAACCAAATATCCCCACAATGGATGCCAGACAGAAGGTATTTTATGTATTAACAGGTTAAAAGAGAACTACTTGGGGAAATAAACCACTTAAAGAGTCATACTTGATGTTCGTAACAGTCTAAATGTTCAGAAGTAGATTTGAGTTTCTAGAAGTCAGCCTCTGCTCTCTACAAAGGTTTAGATCCTGCTTTAAATTGGTTTCCTCTTTAGAAGTCCATCTTTGTCCTCTCCATCTAAGTCTCCTCACTACACACGTCTATATAGAAATTCCAAGAAGAAAGGACAGATTAGCCAGATAGAGGGGGGGAAAAAAGGGTCACGGCCAATATCTAAAAACTGTTAAGGGGCTGGCCGAGTGGCACATTGGTTAAGAGTTGGCTGGGAACACCAGCTCTGAGCAGCAGGGCCCCAGTTCGGGTCCCACATGAGAGCCAGTGACGCTGTGCCCTCTACAGTTAAGATGGTGAACAACAGCTCAACCTGGAGTTGGGCTGCCATGAGTCACCGGCAATGGTGTAGGCTGCAGTGAGCTGCCATAAGCTACCATGAGCAGCCAGCAGCCAGCATGAGCTGCCAAGAGCCGCCGTGAGCAGCCGTCCAACGGCCAGCGACCGATCTGCCTCAGCCAGGAAGAGAGCAATGATCATAATACCAACATGGGCCAGTGAAGTGACGTCCTCCACAACTAGAATGAAGAACAAAATGACAGCAACTTGTCTGTTCCCCTGCCCCAATTCTCTAATGCTGTTCCCCTCCCCCAATTTCCCAATAAACTCTTAAAAAAAACCCAAAAAACTGTTAAGATAATTTAGAGCTATTTAGAACTACTAGTTCTATTAAAGATATAAATGCTTTGGATGATTCAAGCTTCCCAGCACATAGGAGCACGGACCCGGGCACACACAATGGGCTCTCAGTGTGACATAGCCCAGCCAGTGACACAGGACTCTGGCACTCACACTTCCCCCTCCATAGGATCACCCACAAAGAAATTCAGTACAAATCATTTTCCTGACACCATTATTATTGTTAATGAGTTTCAAAGTGTCCTTCAGCTAGAGAGATGACACTGTAGCTGCCTGAAAATGAAAATGTACACACAGTTGGCTTTTAAATAGTTCTGAAAACATACCACTGAACAGGATGCTGTCATAGACGTCAGAGGTGTGGACAACAAAAATATGATAAAAGTGCAAGGCCTCCAAAAGTGAAAAAATAACCTCACTCAGCAAACAAAAGAAGGACTTTTTGAAAAGGCATATCTGTACTTAAATAAAAGTAGAATAATTAAGGTGAACCTTCAGCCTATGAGACTATGCCCTCTTAGAAAAAGGACTTCCATGTTTCCACCAGGAGACAAAGATTCAGCTCTGCTTTTAGAAGTTTTCTCACTCCTACTTTATATATAGAAAAGCTGAAAGGAGGAGAATGAGCTGAAACAGATATTAACATCTCTCAGGCAATTATTTCGGGTTTCCGATTTTTTCCAGATAAAGATATAATCTGAGAAATGTAATCTAATAATTTCATTGACATCAGGCGATCTGTAATTGTCATTGACAGGTCTCATCAAAATATGCAAACAAATTCTGCACCTTATTTGGACTCCGGTCAAATCTCCCACTAAATTAACAACTGACTCTTCTTTACCTGAGTTCACCACGGCAAATGTTTATGATTCTGAGAACTAAGTGGTCCTTATTTAATGTGCTATTTATGTAATAGTTTAAATAAACTAATTGTGTAAGTATTTAGAAACAGATGCACTTATAGATTTATTGGTTAAATATCAAAATTCAATCAAAGATTGGTTTGTTTTGTTTTGTTTTAGTTTTCCAAAAGGGAGAAATATTGGGTTGTCGGAAAAGTCATGATGCATTTTTGCAACGATAAACATAGAAAAAATACGTCATGACTCTTCCAACAACCCAACACTTGACCACAAATTCAGATGATGTGCATTTCTTTCCCACAATGCACTTTTCTGAAAGCTGTTTCAGGAAGTGGCACCTATGCCTGGGCACATCCTGCTGTCCCCTTTTTACAGGCACATGGCAGTAAATTCGATTGTCCCACCTCCCTCGCAGTGATGGAACCAAGTGACTGGCTCTGTTCAAGAGATTCTGAGCAAAAATGACACCTGTCTCTTTGGAGCTAGACCATTTAATAGCTCATCGGAGACCCTGCAGCTCTGCTTCTCCTGTAATGACGAAGCCCGAGGCAGCGTGTCGAGATGATGGCACTGGAGGTGGCATGGGACGACACAGGGAAACACAGCACCCACTGAATCTGTCTGAACTCACATACTGTGAATGATTTATAAACACTTACGTGTGAAGTCATTGAGGTTTTGGAGTGATTTGTCACCTCATTATAACCTAGCCCACTCTGCCTAGTGTACAGGTAATATTAATGCGAACCAAACTTTGCATAACTTTCAAGCTGCTATATGCTTACAAATACGATAGCAAACCGTAGGACACGGGCAGTGTGCAAGCTCTAGAAGCAATGCCCTACTGTTTCCGGAGCATTTTCAGGGAGATACGGGTCAGAACATCACAAGGCCAAGTGGGTGCAGAAAATAAATGGTACCTGAATCGAGCTCTCCAGTGCCATTAGCTGAGCTCTGACGTGTCTCCAAGGGAGAAGATGAAGGCTCTTGCATATTGGAAACTGACAAACTGCTCTCCATTCCGAAGGTATAAGGATCTTCTCCTCTTAATTCATCCTGCAGGAAGAATTACCTAAGGGCAGCCAACAAAGAAAAAAAAAAAAATCAGAATACTTTCATTGTATTCACTTGTTTTTAAACTCTCCCAAAATAACAGCATCCTATCAGGGCTCCTGCCATTTCATTATAACGTGCAGGATGCAATGTAATAACAGAAAATACCAGAAATCAAAGACTGAAGAGTACATGGCTACCGAAGGTCAACAACCAAGGTCACAGCTGAGCAAAGCCATCCGTTTTCTACAGGTCACTATCACCACTGAGAGGCACACATTTTGCATCAACAAATAGCATCTGTGTTTCCATCCCCAATTCTACCCTGGTAACATTGGCCAGACATTCCACCACCCGCCTGTTTCTGCCTCCTCACTGGATGCTGTGAGGCAGCTAGCACACCTGAGCTTCAGCATCCGCACACACACGTAAGGAAGATGTCTGGTGTGTCCCAAGCGACTGTTACCAAAACCAGTTCAAGTATCAGAGTTTGCAAATAATGGCGCAGTCATTATTAAGGGTCAGCCACTCACAGCCATACTTGGGATTTGTTTAATCTTTCATTCATTCAGTGTTCGCTTTTATTTCACATGTAGATCAAAGTTTAAATCAGCAAAAGGGCAAAGACAGATGAAGAAACAGAACAGTACATCGATAGCTATATGAATGGACTATTCTGTCACTCACATACTGGTAAAGTATCTTTTAAGGATACCATGCCCTTCTTCACAGACTCACTCACACACACACACACACACACACACACACACACACACACACACACGTACATTTTGGTGCTCTTGCATTTACTTTCCTGAAAAATATTTTGAAGTTTTGTCAAAATTAAAGGAATGACTTGGGCCTAAACAGAAACCGTTTTTTTGTTTGTTTGTTTGCTTGTTTGTTTTAATAATTCAAAAAAAAATGAAGTTCTATCGCTAGTGAATCATTTGATGAGTTTAGTTTTGGTAAGTTTTGTTGGAAAGCCCACCAAATAAAAGACTCCATGTATGGACAGATGGGTTCTAAAACTATTTCAAATGGAGGACACTGGCAAACTAGCATGATAATATTGAGGCCAGCTACTTTTACCACGTGGACTTCTGTTTGCCAAAACAGCCCACGTGATAATGGGCAGGACTACCTTCTCCTAGGAGCACTCTTTCCCCATTCCTATTAGGACATGGACATGTGAATTTGTGGACAGCCATGCTTCTGGAGTTTTCCTCCCCGTGGGGCTGCACACAGCAGAGGGAGGGGCTGCCGGGGCAACAGCAGCTCTTGCCTCCTGTGCCTGGATTTCACAGTGGGTACTAGTGGCACTCCAGTTTATCTCCACTGCCACTGGTAGTTAAGGAGCCACTGCCGATGCAATCTGAAGAGAAAGCACTTGTTAGGGAGCAAGTGTGGCCATCGAACCAAATACCCAACAATCCACAAGCGTCCAGAGGGAGTACTGGAATATCATGAAGGGTACACCCACACCCCGCCCACAATGGCAGGAAGTGTGGTTGTGACTTCACACTTCACTCCATCACTGAAGCAGGGGTACAACCGCCCCCCGACTCCAGGGCCTACGCGACGGCCTGGGCAAAGAATGAGGAAGAGGGCAGCGCGTTCTGTGCCTTCCCCACAGCTCCCCGCTGATTAATCAGGAACTGCCACAGATTTGGAGGGGAGAAAGGCATGCGACTGAAGCAAAAAAAGACAAGAAGTAGAATACTCGAAGCAAACAAACACCACAGACTGTGCTAACAGAGATTATTACTCTTAATCGGTGAACACATCAAAAGATTAGTAACTCATATATTACGTTAGAGGTGACATGTGCTGTCCTCGAGAAACTAAAGACGGGGAGAAGATACAGGTGAGCACTGTGGAGGGGTACGATCACCTAGATGATGGCCAGGTAAGACCTGAAAAAGGGTATTTGAAAAAAGACTTGAGGGTGTGCATAGGGAGACAGGCTGGGTCTGCATGAGAAGAGAATGAATGGTTCGCCCAAACAAGGACCTGACCCTGCGTTTCCCTCTGCAGGCAGGAGAAGGCACCGCAGGATTTCATTCCAGGAAGTGAAACGATCGGCTTTGTTCTAGAAAAATCACTCCGCCAGACAGATGGGCAGACGGGGCAAGACGGAATGGAACCAGAAGCTAAAAACAACACGCAGATGGAGGTCTGAACTAAGACAGTAGAGGAGGAAAGAAGGAAACAAGGCCATTACGTATTTGAAAGGTACACTCCACAGAACACGGTGCAAACAACCCAAGAATCTTCCAATATTAACAAAATGCAATCTTTCACAGCATGTAGTCAGGTTCCTAGAATAAATTACTTGTCTTGTCACAGCAAGCTCTCAGCAACTAATGGAACCTATGCAGAACCTATGCAGGAAATAAACAGTTCTAGGGGAAAATATATTAAATAAGAGAATGACAAACCATTTCACAGAAACTTACTTTCAATGGAATTGGCGGGGGGGGGGCGGCAAAGTTGTCACTTACTGGCAACAACTGATCCATAAACTTTGCAAAATAAAAACAGGATTTTAAAAAGCAAATCCTTTTCCTAACTACAACACCCTAACCATCAACCCCCCAAAAAACCTATTTTTAGAAGCAAACATATTTCCTTTGATTCTTAAAATATATGTAACTTCAAAACTGAAGGTAAAAGTGTCTATTCATGAAAGCAGCATTTTTTTCCAAAGACACGAAAATAAGGCTCAGAAGACTGGGTCACTTCCTGTTTTGTACAATTAATACACTTTGTAATCTTGTATAAAGTTAATTCTACTATAATTGGCTCCTCTTGTCTCTAAAGTTGTTGAAAAGCAAAATTATAGTACTGGAATTTCTAAAGTGGTCTTGGCCCAGTGACAAGAACAGTGAACTTAGAGAGGAAGGAGTAACAAAAGCCACTATCTGTGTGACCTAAGCAAATTACTTAACCTCTCTGTTCCTCAAATTTCTCATCAGTTAAAGAAGAGGGCTTGATTAGATGCAATCAATGGCTCTTTTCAACTCTAAAATTCTATGACTCTACCAGGACTTTTTAGTGTGAATTACGTATTTTCTGCATTCAGATTACCTGTTTATCTGAACCAAATACAATAAGCACCCGCCTCTTATCATTTGGGGGTTATTCAAAAAAGATACCCATTTTAGCACAGGCTAGACAAAAACTTGTTAGGAAGGAAATGGGTAAGGAGGAACACTCATTAGATATTCTAAAACTCATCAGAAATTACTAGAGGCGTATTACCTACTTTGAATTATCTCTAGACCAGCAAGGTCCAATAGAACCTTCTAGATCTACACGGTCCAATTGGGTAACCACTAGCCACAGCCACATATGGCTACTGAGCCCTTGGAATGTGGCTGGTGTGAATGAGGATCTCAATTTTCATTTTAATTAATTTCCATGTAAAAGCCGTATGTGGCTGGCGGCTGCCATATTAGACAGCACAGCTAGACCACTGAGTAGGTAAGCCAGAGTATACGACTTTTTAATTTGGACCACATCCTACATAACCATCAATTCTTGACTCTCTTTAAAAGTTTTAATAATAACAAGCTAGTTAAAAATAGCATAGGGATTTTTAAACCTAAAACACTTCAAAAGGAGCCTTCCATTTCCCCATCATTTTCCACAAATCTTTCACAGAAACTTCCTAACGTAGTAGGTTTTTACTGAATGCGCTGCCTTTTTGCATGAATACAATTTTAAAGGAGAAGCAAACTTAGAAGCTAAAGTATATGCATCATATTAAGATTATTTCCTTTTTTCATTCATCTATAAATTCAAGAAAATCATTCCACCTCAAAAAATGTAAGCAGGCAAAATATTTTTCTGTTCAAGGAAAAAAACCTCCACGAATGGTATTACTGTGAACCATCAATGGCTTATCTGACAATATTAAAGGGGGGAAAAGTTTGCCAAAATTTTTATGGCTCCTCAGTGATTTAATTCTCCCCATGTGCCTCTAACCAGATACTATAAAAAGCTAACCGGGAACTGTAAAATAAGACATCGATTTAAATGCACCAAATCAATCATTTTAAATAGAACTCAAGGGTAACAATACAAATATCAAAAAGAAAGCCCCCGAACAAGTGACAGTTAAACCTCACATTATTCTCTATAAGGACAAGTGACAAGGCATTGTCCCAGGCAACTGCAAAATTTATCTTGGCAAATAACACGTCACATGCTCACTTTTTCAATAATGTTTACTTTTTTCCATAAAAGGTATACACACACTCTATAGACTGCTCAATGAATAAAATTATAAAGGAACAAATTCAAATCACTAGTATTTCTAACACCCAGGGAAAGTCACATCTATGTTTATAATAGTAGCTTCCTCCTGATAGCTTCTCTGTGGGTTTTATTTATTTTTTTTAGTTCATATAGAATTTACAATTTTAACTCATTTTTCACTTAACATGACATAGAAAGCATTTCTCCATGTCATTAAAATTCTTTGAAAACATGACTGGAAATGGTTGCGTACCCATCTGTAGAACTCAGGGTCGGGACTAGCAGCTCTCTGGTATTCTGCCTGCTGCTACTGTCGCTTTTCTCCTCTGCTTCTCTATTTTTTTTATTTTATTTTTCTGTTTTCCCTGGGAATCCTCAGGGTGACAGGACTGTCTGTATTTATATGTGATGGTACCAAGGGACACACAGTCTCATGTGGCATGTACAGGGGTATGAGTCACACCATAGTAACCCGGCAACCAGCCATCACCCCCCAGACTTGTTCAGTTGGCACATGTCGTCTCCTGTCCTTTTCACACCAACCTGTCCCCCTTTTCCTACCCCACAGCTCTATTCCACCTAAGTTGCCAACAGTTTCACTGAGTAGTGGGGTGTGTGATGGTTTTGGCACAGTGGCTTCAATATGAAAGAGGCCGCTATTTGTTCACTCTGCGGGGATGATGTGTGTAGCCACTAGAAGGTAAAAATAATGGTGTGATTACTGAACCAAAGGAACTTCTGGTGTGCAGCTTAGGT